CACACACCACACCACACACACAACACCACACCACCACACACCACACACACACACACACACAACACACACACACACACACACACACACCAACACCCGACACACACACACACACACCAACACAACACCAACCCACACACACCAACACACACCACACACCCCTCCCTCAAACAATGTGCCGTGTATCGTCCCTCCGACACATGTTATACTCCAACTTAATCTTCCAAAAATCTAACTCCGAGACCGCACACCAACCAAGTCTGATTATACTACGTCTTTCACTTAAACGTACTTACTAATAACTTTACTTTGTGACCCTTTGATTTGTATCTTACCGTAAAGTGCCTCCTTGTGTACACTGAGGTTTAATGTTTTTTTGTAGGAGTACCAAATAACCAAATAACCGCAACAAGTTTTCAACCTGAGTTCCTAAATATGTAACACCAAATAGATGTTTTTATCTAAAAATTTTACTTATCCAGAATAGAAAGATCCTATGCGGCCATACGACTCACACTAGAGGACATAAACATCTGCCTAAACTTTCCTATCCGGTCTATACGTAATAGATAGCATGTCTAAAAATAACCTAAGAATGTGTTTACGCGGATCGTTTGAGGTGTCCACAAAGGGGAATGAAACTAAATCAGACTCTACGAGAGATTGGTTGTTCGTTGCCTCCTCCTCCACACACACACACACACACACACACACACACACACACACACACACACACACTCTGCATCACAACAAACTCACAACATCTGCATATGTTTCCCAGCAGCTGCAGCATCTCATTGCATATCATTTCAGTGGGTTAACATTGTTTTGTTTCCTCCTCTCCAAAGAGCCTCCCACCCATCTAACATTGTGTGTGTTTGCCTCCAGGCAGCAGTCACAGACATTGCGCCCCAATGAAGTGGACGATTCCAGGTCGGCATTATTGTTTTCATAAATTCATATCACTGGGTCTGGGGGACATTTGTGTCTTAGGCTGACAGTATGAGATTTGGCTTTCTCAATTCCAGACTAGTAGCCTGTCACAGCTGGTCATTGTCTGCCGTGCTCTGTTGGAGCAATGACAACACCCTGATGGGACGTCCCGGATGTGCCAGTGATGAACTCATCTCATCCTCTATCTATTTCTAATCTTTCTTTATCTGTGCCTTCAGTCTTTGTCTCCTTTATTTGTAATCTAACTCCACTTAAAGGTCCCATTATATTCTTGTTCATCAATATAGGTCTCAGTTTTATACAAAACATGTCTCTGAAGTGTTTGGCTCCAAACACCAAACAGATCATTGCAGCATCCCATAATCCCCTCTGTTTCAGCCCTGTTTCAAAAGTGATGATTCTCTGTCTGGTACTTTAGATGAAAATAAGGAGCCCCTCCCCACGCCCCTCTGCGAGATATTTGGTTAAAAAGAACACAATGGTGCTCTAGGAGGAGATTCAAGTGATTGGTACCTTGGTTGGTGATTGGCTAATAGTTACACAAGCCAAAAAATCGTTATGACATCATAAAGTGGCCAAAAGCTAATTTTCAGACAGGTTTATATATAAATGGATCAGGACAAAAAGAGAGAGAATCTTTTTTTCCTGAAACTTTCAGAATCTCTTTACACAGAGTATGTTTACACATGTTTATGCAGAAAATACATGAAAAAGTGGATTTTGCATAATAGGTGACCTTTAAGTTCTTTTTTTCCATTCATGTGCTCCTTTTTTCACCTTCTCTTATCTGCTCCCAGTTCTTCTCTTTCTGCTTTTGCTCTTGCTGCTGGAGTCCTCCTCATACCCTATCGCTCTCCTCTCATCCCTCTTGAACCAAACAGGCATATAAACCCTGATGGGCTCCCGGATGGAAATGTTAGGAAAATGGCAGGATTCTTATCAAAGGCTGAACTCAATTAAATGTTCTGTCGGAGCCCACAGCCTCAGAGCATGTCTCCATGCTGCTTCTGAGTCTCCCTGCTGCTCTGCTACACCCTGGCTCATTTGGTTTTCTGTAACATTGGAAGGAAGGTGGGTTTTTGTGGAAGCCCCAAGTTTGCCCTCTAAATCATTTCTGGAAGTCGAGGAAGTGAGCAAACTCAAGTATGTTCTAAGTTTCAGGATTTCACACGAACGTGTGTGCAGGGCGGTGTGTACATGCATGGCTGTGCTGTCTCTATGTTAGCCCCTCTCCACATAAAGCCTCTCATGTCATCTTAGCTGCAGGCCAAGAAGATTCAGCACATAATCCTGAGGAAACAGCAATCTGACAGCCGGGACCCAACACACATGTTCTGTTGGGGAAATATGACAGCGTTACACAATCCAGCATGTTGCTGTGACACAGTCACGTTTCCTGTTCAGAGACCAGAGATTCGTTGAAATTAATTAAGACAATGTTATTTAATGGATTTTATAAAAAACATTAAACTGCAAATATTTACAAAAAGACTCATTCACAGCTACGATTCAAGCTGGCGATTTTAGAAAACAAGTCACGTACAGTTTTTGAGTGATGTGTATAACAATGTGATTCCCTTCACACATAACTCCTTTCATTCACCTGTGTTCTCCTCAACTCTGAAAGTTACCTGTAAAGGACACAGAAGTGCAATTTACACACTGACATTTAAAAGAGTTCTAAAATAATCAGCAATGATAAACCACAAATAAGACTGTTGAGAAAGAAAAAACACAACTTTTGTGACTTTAGATTTTAAATTAAAGGGGCACATCTTGTGTGCACATCACTGTTACTTAGACTGTGGCCAGTGGAACATTAGGACCCCGTAAATATCAGAGAACCCTGACT